GGCAGGAGAATGGCATGAACCCGGGAGGGGGAGCTTGTGGTGAGCTGAGATCGCGCCACTGCACTCCAGCCTGGGCCACCGAGCCGGGGGTGGGGGCGGGGAAGCAGAAGAATGGAGAAAATGGAGAAGAACAGAACAGAAGCTTGAGAAGTATAGTGAATAATTTTGTAAAAGTAAGAAATCCATCAAACCGTTGGTCAAAGAAGGTCAGAGGATCCCAGGAAGGATACATACAAAAAATGAAACTAAATGAAGCCTATTTTCAGGAAAATAAATACACAGATACCTACACACATGCTCAGTACACACTCATGCTGAAATAATTGATAATCAGGAGACTTGTGCTCCAACTATTTTCCAGGCAAAGGGTGTGTAATAACTAAGAAAACATGGCTTCACACAAATAAAGAAATAACACTAAAATGTATAACTGAAAATAAAAAACAACAAATATTGGACGTTTTAATTCCTTTAAAAAAAAATCTAGCAAAACTATGCTGATGTCTTCTGAGTTTAAACCATACATAACAGTAAAATTTATGACAAAAAATAGCAAAATGAATGGAAGAGAAGATCTGACTTGACACTACCCAAAGGGTCTTATGTGAAAAGATATCGTGTAGATTATTTTATTTCAACTATAATATATAAACCATGCGTTTCATAATGCAGGGTCACCACCAAGAAGAGAGAGGATAAATATTACCAATATCCGGAATGAAATAAGGCATTTTATTATGGTCCCCACAAATATGAAAAGAAAAGAAGAATATTACAAACAACATTTTGCTATAAACTTAAATGAAAAGTACTTAAATGAAAACTATTAAATGAAAAGTACAATTCTCTAAAGAGGCTTACACCAGAAGAAATGGTTAACCAGGGTAGTCGTATGCCTACTTAATAAATTGAATACATTCATAAAAACCATCCCTATGAACAGTGAGCTTCAAATTACCTTCCTAGTGTCAAAAAATCTCACCTTTTCCTCTCACTGGAATGTGGACAATGTACTAGATTAACTCTCTTCAATAACATAGAAGAGGACAACATCAAGGAGAAAACAGAGCAATAACATAAAAGAACCTGTGCCCTAGGATTGCCTTGTGAAAAACAGCTCCCACAAAGTCTAGTCAGGTCAAGAGTACTAGGATAAAACAGAGAAAACTCTGCAGATTATATTTAGGAATACTTTGTTGTAGTTGGGTCTCTGTGTTTCTGAATCTTTTTTATTTTTTAGATCAGAAAATCCTGTATTCTGATTAAATACAAATTTTCTCACCAGCATCTTCCCATCTGATAAACTGTTCTTTCTTTATTGAGTTATTTTTCTGTAAATCGGACTGTACCTATATATTTGAGATTGAGCTGGTACTGCCAAAATCACAAATGTATATCAGCAGCGTATACCTTTTAATAACCTCGTTATTTTGTTAATGTCTTTAAAAAATATCAAATTCTATTTTTTCAATGTGATCATAGTAGTAAACCATTGTATTTTTTAAAAAGTTGGAGAAATTATTGAATCTCTCTGTGTTCCAGTTTCATGATCTATAAAATTCAGTCTTCAAATACATTTATTAAGGTACTATTCTAGGTGCTGGGGGAAAGTCCTTTGCTCTTAGAGCTTACATGATAATAGGGGAAAACTGATACAAAATAAAAGGCACAAGAAAAATATTCAGAACATCAGGTGGGAATAACTGCTATGAAAAAAAAAATGTTTGAAAGAGGATGTGAACAGCTACCAGTTTTAATAGGGTAGTGAGGAATTTTCTTGTCAAGAAAAGGATAAGAAAAAAATCATGCAATTATCTTTGGGGAAAAAAAGTTTCAGCAAAAAGAAAATGGAAAAATTTCAGGCAGTATTTGTACTATTGTTTGCAGAGAAGACCTGAGAGGTCATGGAGTAGAAACAAAGTGAGCGTGACAGATGCATAATAAGAAAGGAATTCATAGATTTAAGAACTGAGGACATCATTTTTAACCAATGAGCATTTGTAAAGCTCTTGGCTTTTATTCTTAGTGTGATGAAATATGGCATAGGGTTTGTGAAGAAAAATTATGATCCAACCTACTGTTTAAGAGTATAATTCTGGCTCCTACATTGAGATCAGACTCAAGAGAAATAAGAAAAAAATAGGTGCATGCTACAATATTGCAGCAATAATTGTGAAATGGAAAATATAGTTATATTGGCCAGGATGGCAGCAAAAACATGTTAAAGTAGACACCAAATATAGTCTATATTTAGAATCACCTTAATATGCTGATGGAATGGAACTAAAGTGTGTTCAATAAGAAGAAAATTCCACGATAATTCTTAAGTCTTTGCTTGAACAAGTAAAGGGTGGTTTTCCATTAATATGAGGTTAAACTTTGCATACTGCTAGTGCTGACCTGACGGTTAAATTATAATGATACATTATGTTAGTTTGATTTATATAAAGCCTTTGAATATTGCCTGACCATGGAAAGTGCTCAGAAAAATATATTATTACTATTTTCCTATAGCCATAATTATTTGGAAGTAAAAAAATAGCCGTTCAGATCTTGCTATGCTGAATTACAGGTTTTTTTTTCATATTTATATTATATGGCATTTTGTCATGACACTATGAACCAGACAACTATGTCTTCAATTAGACAATATCTTACATAAAATATACTTTACACCAATATAATAGGGAAAGTGTAGGCCAAATGTGAACAGTCTAAATCTTTCATGTTGTGCATAGATTATTGTATACTTTTTAGTAACATTATGTGAATATGTTTTAGCCTGTATTATGAAGATGATAGGGTGGTCCTCATTAAATTAGAATGTAAGCAATTTCTCTGCATGTGTTGACCACGAAGTGGTAGATTCGGTTGACCATCTTTGTAACCCAAATTGACAGGATCCATTTTCTAAATCATAGAAGTAGACATAAATGAAACCAAGATAAAACCATAGCTCATAAAAATAAATAGAAAAATGGAAAGAGCTTGTAAATACATAAACTTATATTATGCATTTATAAGATGAGAATGAGCCAAAAACATATTATTAAATAATAAATGTCGATTAAATACTTATTTCTAATCAAAGGAAAACAAATAGATGTGTGTTATCTATACCTATACATACCTATAGATATGTATTCCTGAAAACATGAATATCAAAGCAAAAATTAAATCATAATAACTTTATGTGACATTAATACTTGAGAAGCAAAATTGTGAAATAAATTAAGAAAGGAAATAATATGTATTAAAAGATTTGAATTTGCTAGTTGACAGTTTGAATTAGTGAAATTTTATTAAAATGTTAACTCCTAAAATAGAGGTTACAGTCTATTTTAAACACTCAAAATGCACTTAGAAAAAATCAAATATAATTATACAAACAAAACAAATTTCAATATATAAAAAAAGTTTTGCTTGAATGAAAACTATCTAGTAACTGTTACAAAAGTTTAAACAAAAAAGACAAATACTTGGAAAATAAAAAGTAGCTTCTAAAGGGTCCTATAAATAGCAGAGAAAAAGAAAACTGTGATTCCAGAATATGTAAGGAAAATATTAAAAAATAAAAGACATTTAAGCACACTACCTGACTAAAATTGACAGGATGTCACAACATCTGAATTCATTGTCAATTCTTTGCTTTACATCTTTTCTGTACTAAGAAATGTAAAATCAATGAATAAAGCATTTAATTCAAAGAGTTATTTTTAAAACTGAAACAAACCTGTAGAAATCAGGAGAAAGGCAATGAGTTTTAAAGGCACACAGGATTTTAATAAAGAAACAATCTGACACATTACAGAAATCCAGTTTTCACATGTTTAGCATGCAAAGGACATGTCACTGCATGTGTATTTTTAACTTGATGAATTTATATTTCAAGTCCAAAACATTGTGAAATGAGTCTTGATGGTGCCCATGCATCAAGAAAACTTTATATTACAGTTGGCAATGACAAAGAGATTATCCAATGTTAAACTTGTAAATGAATACAGAAAGCTGAAAATAGTACGTGGAAAGTGATAGAAATTTTGTTTATATGTGTTACATACGTGCACATATTTGAAACTATTGATCTAGCAGAACATGCACAAAATTCAATATTTGTTTTTCTGAAACAAAACAAGTTTATTAGAGAAGTAAATAAACAAAAGAATGGTGACTCCACAGGAAGAGCAGAGAAAACTCAGTATTTGTAGAGAATTTCCATTTTTTCAATATTTTACGGTATTTTTCAAATTTTCTCTAACGTTATATTAATATATGCTATTTTTCTATGACATAATTCTACTGAAATATTTTACTTCTGAAATCCAAAACTGTGTGCTGCTGATTTTTTTTTCTTTTTAGTTCTGTCAATTAAATTAATCAAAAGTAATTTGTAAAACACAAGTTTACATTCTTGAAAAAAGGCATTGTGCAGTAATGTAAGTTTTCTAATGATAATGGGAAGCATTAATTATCGTCGCCTTAAATACTCTACAACTACCCTCTGATCAGATTTGGAGTTATTATTTATCTTGTGCACTTAGGGAAAGGAGGCTTAAGCTTTAGGCAACAAATTAATGACTATACAGCTAAAAGTGTAGCATATTTATAATCTAACACTTGGAAAATTTTATTCCAAAATAAGTACTCCTACACACTCCACTATAATTCTTCCTCATATAATAAATGGAATGACATCTAAAACTATTATCATTGTGTCCCAAATAGTTCTTTCTATAATAAATTTATCTACAATTGAAGTATACACAAGAATTTGAATAATATAATTTTAAGTGACAACCATATTTTCTTATTTTCCACATCAGTTGCTTCAAAAATATATATGTAGACAGAAAACACGACACACATATTATGATTCTAATTACCATTTGGATTTCTAAAAACACATGCCTTAAAATGTTTTAAATCATGTTTAGTCAAGCAAAGAGTAGCACAACAGAAATGCAAACAAATTAAAGGATTTAATTGTTTTTATAGAGATGCCAAGAAAATACCCAAATAGGAATGAAAGAAAAGATGAGATTAAATGTTCCATTTCTGCTGTTTTAACTACCTGGAGTCCTGTCTTCTCTGCATGACTCTAATGAGAGCATTTTTCACTTCTTTGTTTCTAAGACTATAAATGAGTGGATTCAGCATGGGAATCACAATAGTATAAAACACAGAAGCCACTTGATCCCTTCCCAAGGAATAAGACTTCCTTGGTTTTAAATAAGTAAAAATCATAGTGCCATAAAAGATGGTGACTCCCAAGAGATGAGAGGTGCAAGTAGAGAAAGCTTTCTGCTTTCCCGAAGTGGAATTAATTTTCAGGATAGTAGAGAGAATGCACATATAGGACGCAGATATTGTGAAAAGGGACACCATCAGGGTGGAACCAGCGATAATGAATATCAGGATTTCGGTGTTGTATGTGTCAGTGCAGGACAGAGCTAAAATTGGGGACGTGTCACAGAAAAAGTGATGAATTATGTTTGACTCGCAGAAATGCAATCTGCTCATGCAAACCACGTTGACAAAGGAGTCCATAAAGCCAATCACATAGGGCCCAGTGAGGAGAGCGCGGCAAAGACTTTTGGACATAATAACTGGGTAGTGTAGAGGACTGCAGATAGCTACATAGCGATCATAGGCCATTGAGGAGAGAAGATAACATTCAGCAGTACCCAAGAAGACAAAAAAGAACATCTGGGCAAAGCAGCCCGTGAAGGAAATAGAGTTGGAAGTCAGTAAGTTTGCTAAGGTTTTAGGTGTGATGACAGTTGAGTAACTGAGGTCAATAAATGATAGGTGAATGAGGAAAAAATACATGGCAGTGTGAAGTTGGAGGTCCAGGCGGATTATCAATATCATCCCCACATTCCCCAGCATAGTAATTACGTATATCAGGAAAAACAGCATAAAGAGGGCCATCTGGATCTCTTCAGAATCTGACAGTCCCATAAGGATGAAGTCAGGTACATTTGTGTTATTCCATCTACCTATCATGTTCGCCTGCTCTAAACTGCTGAGAAATCAAAGCTGATAGGTAGAAGGGGCGCCTGTAATCCCAGCTACTGGAGAAGCTGAGGCAGAAGAATCGCTTGAACACGGGAGGCGGAGGTTGCAGTGAGCCGGGATCGCACTATAGCATTCCAGCCCCAGCAACTGTGCCAGACTCCGACTCAAAAAAAAGTAAACAAACAATCAAAAAAAATTTCTGTTTATACGAATGACCTAGCATTTAATAATTAGTTTAGCCTTCTATAAATTGCTAACAAATTTATAGAATATGACTCAAGAAACTAATTTTATTGCCAATATAGATGTATGTACAAATTAACATTTGCATATATTATAATAAAACTTACTGCCAATATAGATATATGTACAAATTAACATTTACATATGTTATAATAAAATATAGCATATTGCATAATTAGAATGAACCTGACATTGTTTTGAATGGCTTCCTTTATTGACACATTTAATCCACCTGAAAATATTATACCATAGATACTACTATTATCCACATAGTTTAGGTGAGGAGAAAAAGAGTATGGAAGGTTGGAGTAACTTATTCAACGTTGTTGGATCAATTTACTGTTGACACTGATTCTACAAAGATATCTTAACTTCAGAGAGAAAGCTTATAATACTACACTCTTGTTTATAAATAATTTCAGAAAACTTGAGAAAACAGCTAGACGTGTAATAAATGAAACACTTTTATTATATCATTTATGGCCCTTTTGTTTCCAATATTATTTAATAATAATTTTCAATAAATTTCACCCTTGGGGATTTTAGTCAGCTACATTAAAATTATAGACAATATATAAGTATTAATTTACAAAAGAGGTGATGTTTTCCTGACTTAACTAATCAAAATCTAATTTCTTCCAAAAATTATATTTTCAAAATACATACTTTGCTTGTAGACTCTGATTCTGACAACTCCAAATTTGTTTCACAAACCCTGACGTTACTTAGGGTAAAGAGTAAATGATATGCGTATGTATTAGTATATTATTCTGATAAAGTCCCCATTTTATTTCATCTGAAGTAAAATGTGAAACAAAATCTTCCAATTTTGAAAATAATACTTACTGTGTGTGAGTCAACATTCATGAAAAAATTTTCTTCTTATATTATCAGTCTGGAAATTTGTCAACTTCAAATTTTTGTTATAAATAAAATATGAAAACTCTTTAAGGAGGTGATTTTTTAATAATATTTGTTTTCCTTGAGATACTTTGTTTTTACATTTTTGTGCATTCATTATGTTTTATTCTAAGCTAAACCAATCTAGACATTTTGTTTAGGTTCTGGTCTAACAGAAAGATGACCAATAAGCTATGTATCAAACAAGACCAGCAGCCATTGTGACCATAAGGAGACTATTCTTTCCCTCTCACTCTGATAATTCCAGAGGACCTCATATACCAGAGGCTGATGATAATGCACCTTTTAGTAGGCCCTGGGGACCATTTGCCAAGGAAGATTGTTTGGCATGTTTCTAAGGACAAAAGTTCAGGGACTAAAGAGAGCCATGTTAGGTTTTGTGCAAAGACTTCCCTTTTACCTTAGAAGCCACACAAATGAAGGAAATTATGAATTGGTCTTTTCTTGTGATGTTCTCAATATTTTATGGGGGTGGTGAAGAAGCCATTTCCAGAAAAAATAGTTACTCTATGACTGACACCATCAAAAATGGAATAATACATTTTTCACAATTAAATTTCTTAATATTTAAAAGTGTGATAGTATCATAGAAGTAAACCATGTTAATTGGAAAAGAATCAGAAGATAACAAAATTCAAAAAAGTAAATGAAAACAATACAAAACTGTCATTAACATTTTGTTAACATTATAATTTTTCCTATTTTCCTTTGTGCGTTGTGTGTACATGTACTTATGGATTGCATAACAATTATTGTACTATATATTCAGTGTCTTTTCCTCATTTAATAACCAAAATTTTATGCTATGCCATGAGCTATCTTATATGAATGTTTTATCAACCACACAATTCTACGGTTCGTGTATTGGTTAGTGCCCTGTAACTTACTAAGTTAACTATGCGTTCACCAGCTGATAAACAGACATTTTGAAGCATTATCAAAAAAATGGTATAGGTTATTCATTCTGGTGTGGTGCTGTCATCTAATTCATCCACATGCAATATTTGTGCAATATGTTTTGCTGTTTTCCTGTACTTTTTAAAATTTTATGAAACAAAAGTGAGAGCAGAAAGACAAAATCAGTCCTGAGACTAATAAACATTTTATAATTAATTTTTTAGCCCAAAATTTCCTTCCTCCGTATATAGTCAGGTCAAATTTTTGTCTTAAATACGAGTTAAAATTAAAATACAAAAAGAGAGCTGAAATATTCTACTAAGAATTATTTGCCCAAGATGAGGAAACAAGGGAAGATTCTGAAACAATATACAATACAAATCAGAGTAAAATATTAAAGTGAATCTTAAGTCATTATAATAAAATCTATTTCATGTCCATTTAAAAGTGAGTCTAGAAGGAAAGCATGCCCATAATCTAGAATTTCAGGAGATAATCTGTTGGTAGGTATAAAGCAGCTACATTTGTATGTATTTATTGTACCTTTGATGAGCTTTGGAAAGGGTGATGGTATTCATCAGAAATTTAGTGATCCTGAGACAGGTTGATTTGAAGATTTAAAAGCCAGCATCACACTCTTTAACAATAGATAACATTAGGATTTAAACCAAAGAAGAGGCAAAAGGTGACTATGTCAAAACCACCTCAATAAATCTCCATGAGCAAGGGATTTTCTTGCTTGATGTTTTTCTAACATTGAAAACCATTTTGTTCAGGTTCAGAGTTGTTTATCATGGCAGGAAAATTATTTTACCATTTACTATGTCATTGCTGAAGCCTAATTCTGATCAGATATTTTAGATCTCTTTCAATTTAGATGATGAAATAATGTAATGTCCTAGCTAGTCATATTTTTTTATGATTTATTTATTCATTTATTTAGAGACAGAGTCTCACTTTGTTGCTCAGGCTGGAGTGCAGTTGTGCTATCTCAGCTCATTGTAACGTCCACCTCCTGGGCTCAAGCAATCCTCCTACCTCATCCTCCCAAGTAGCTGGGACTACAGATGAACTCGCCACTAGGCTCAGCTAATTTTTTATAGTCTTTGTAGAGTTCTCACTACGTTGCTCAGGCTTGTCTTGAATTCCCGGCTCAAGGTATCATCATCTGCCTAGGCCTCCCTAAGTGCTGGGATTATAGGTGTGAGCCACAGTGCCTGGCCTTAGGTCATTATATTTCAAACTATATTTCTTATTCTCTTCTACTGTCTCTCTCTCAATATCTCTCTCTCATCGATTATTTTTTTTTTTAATCTTTGGCTCAATTAAAAAAACTTTTTTGATATATTTTGTTCAAATACTTATTAATTTGTTTATTCATTAGTTCTTTTAGTTATTCTTATTTTAACATTTTATTTCCCCTGCTTTATCAGGTTGGATTCATTATTTTTTCCTCTACCACCTAGTAACAGTATTTTCTTATGGTTACCTGTTTAATATTAACAGAATTTAATATTTGCATTATCCATCCAGGTGTCACTTTTCACCTATATACATAGTGATCTCAGTTATTCCTATTGCAGAGTATTACATAAGTAGTCTAAAGTTAAATTTTTCATTTCTTATTTGACTAAGATTAACCTCAGCTATGCGTAGTTACTAAGTTATTAAAATCATAGTAAAATTATGATTCTAATTTTTTAAAATTTTGAGTTTACATTATTTTTACCATTTATTTATTTATTTGGAGTCTTGCTCTGCTGCCCAGGCTGAAGTGCAGTGGCACAATCTTGACTCACTGCAGCCTCTGCCTTCCGGGTTCAAACAATTCTCCTGCCTCAGCCTCCTGAGTAGCTGGGACTACAGGCACGCCCATCATGTCCGACTTGTTTTTATATATTTTTAGTAGAGATGGAGTGTCACCATGGTGGCCAGGCTGGTCTCGAACTCCTGACCTCAACTGATCTTCCTGCCTCAGCCTCCCCGAGCACTGGGATTACAGGTGTGAGCTACTGTGTCCAGCCAATATTTACTTTTTATTGAATTGCCTTGTGGTTATGACTGCTTTAAGCTTTGTAAATTTGTAAATTACTTTTAATCAACTGGTATAAATTACTCATAGATTCTGGGAAAGAAAGATTCATACGTCAATATGCAAGTCTGGCTTTTTCTATTACAGTATTCGTAGATTATAAATTCTCAGCAGGAGCAAACAGAAATAAATACAAAAATGAGTGATTCGACTTTATTAGAAGGTGAAATGTACTATAAATAAACTAAAGGAAATGTAAAACAGCATAAAAGATGGGAGGGGTGTTCAGAAACAGGGGCATGAGGAAGCAACCAAAATGGAGGACAAGGTGTTTCTCAGTGAAAAGGTGACAGCTGAGCAAGGACTTGAAGGAGGGAAGAGTTAGTCATGTAGGTACAAGGTGGGAATGTGTTCCACACGGATGGAACATCAGGGCAAAGAACCTATGAAGAGGATGGACCAGGTAGTCGAAGGAATGACAAGCAGGACTATGTGGTAAGTGTGCTGTGAAGAAAAAGTGGAGGTAGTGCATGGAGACTTTTGAGCTTTCTTTCTTAAAAAATAATTTTCAGAGAAGTCTTCAATGATAGGGCCATACTGAAATAAGTGAAATAGAAAGCCATAAAAATACCCGGAGAATGTGAGCTTCAGGCAAATGGAAGAGTAAAAACAATGTTCTATAAAATTAGTTACTTTGTCCTAATGTTTTATATCACTTTATTTTAGTAAAAATTGTGTAAGCAAAATAATATACTGAGTTCCGAACAATCTTTGGCTTTTTAGAGGCATTCATTACCACTAATAAATGTAAAAGTTATATAGTTCTCTAATATACTTATATTTCATCATGCTAATATTTCTATACATTATTTTCTAAAATATATTTTCTTTTGTATCTGTTGTCTTTAGCTATTACTTTTAGACAGTTTTTCTACCCATCCTTCTCTCCCCCTATTTTAAAAGGCAAATATTTGTGCAAATTCCTAGCTATTCTACACTAGTTACTCCAAGTAACAGATAATAACTTTGAATTCATTTTAAATGGACTTTTAATATTAATATACAGCTAGGAGAATGAAATACTTTTTGAAATGAAACAAGTTTTAAAAACAATTTTTAAAAACTTTTGATACAAAAATGTATCTTAAAGTTAGTGAAATAGAACACAAACTCAAGGAATACAAATGGTGGACAGCAACATTACAAGGGCACCACTGATTAAACAGACAGAACCAAAACTATGTATCTTTACTTTGAAGCCTTACACATCAAACATATGTTAAATTGAGTGTTTTTCTTCAGCATATTAAAAAAGGAAAGAGACATCTGGACTATTGCACAGAGTAGGATACTTCTAGGGACTTAGTTTCAAAGACTACAATTAATCTTCTGATGTGGGAAAGATCGAGTGCTGGAAGAGTGCGGCAGAAGGAACGACTGGAGAAAAGGCAAGGCTTATCCTGGAAAGACTTGCATTACAGGATCTAGAGGGAATGTGCACACAGAGCAACTAGAAGAGAGAATGGTGGGAGATATTAATATACCAGGGGCAATTGTGAGAAGCATATTGAGAAGAGTATATATGGAAATTTAGGCACAGTTTGGGGTAAATATATTGTTATGTGTTATGAGCAAAAAATGTGGGGTATGGTTTTGCTCCTAGAAACAGATTAGCAATATAACGTTAATAACATTAAAAGATAAATTTGATACATAATTTTATTAATACTAAGTAAATAAGAATATTTGAAATTATCTATAGAAAAATATACATTCAGTACAATTAAAAGTAAAAATGCATACATTAGAATCAGGGTAAACGTAATAAAGTGTAAAAGTCATGTTTTATACACTTATAAAAGTGATCATTTTATTTAGAATGTATGAATGTGTAGTGATGAAGTGAATTTCCATTTCCCTCTGAAGTTTCAAGTCAGCAGAAATGAACTGACAATAAACCGGAGAAAAGGCATGCACATTTGTTAATCTGCATAAGCACAAGAGCCACTCAAAATATGAGATTCAGAGAAGTCTCAGATGGTTGAGGCATAAATACCCTTTTCATAGGGGAGAAATAAATGAGCCCAAAGCATAGACTGTTTATAAATGATTCTAGAAGGAAACTGAATGGAACCAGCAATTTAAGGGAAGGGACAGAACTGTGTTGTGAACAAGTGCCGTCTATTATGCTGATAAAATCTCTCACAGAATCTCTTGGAACTGCCCTCAGAAGAACAGATGAAAACTATTGTGTGCGTATGGTGACAACTTTTAGTCTCTTCTCTTCTTCAGTGGTTAATCTTTCCTAGTTAATTAATGAGATACCTAGAGAAGGAATTTAAGACAATTACTTTTCTTTTCAGAAGATGTTTCCTCACTCAGGTAAGAAAATTCCAGAGCATGTCCCTCTCTGTACTTGGTAGGAGGGAAACAGAGAAGGTTAACAAGTCTTTGACTCCGAGGCAGCTCTAAGGTCTTGTAATTTCTTATTTCAAAGCGATCAGGATGCCAAAGCATTATTCTTTGCAATATCATTTTCTGAGTCCCAACCATGTTCACACCCAGGTCCATTCACATGAGCTATTCTCAGCCACTCCCAAGACTGAAGACTGATATTCTCTTTACAGAAGTAGGTTTGTGACATATGGAGAGAATTCCTAATCAGTTGTCTTCTATTATTTAAATTCATATATACAGCATACACTTAGTTCCATATTCTAGCCATTCTGAAAAAAAATGTCATTTGGGAAGAAATATATCTGTAAATCACTATGCCATGTTTAATATATAAATGAGAAATGTTTGAGAAAGAATTCTAGAAATAGAATTTCTAACGAAACTGACATTTGAATAAGATTACGTAAAAAACTGTCCAAGCACCAAAGAAATATACAAATATAAGTAAGACAGACCCTGTGGTCCTGATGAATTCATCATTGTGCTTCCACACACAAATGAAAACAAAAGAAAATATTTACTTATATACTTCATATTGATACATTTGCTAGTTGTTATGAAGTGCGCAAATACGAATAGGCAAACTTTTCTCTCAAAGAGCTTACAATCTTGCTGGAGAGTAATACTATAAGCACATTATTTTCTTTCAAAAGAGCTTCATCAAATTAATCTTCCATTCCTTTCAACATACATTATAAATATGATAGCCCAACTCTGATAATTATTCATTCATTAACAGACATGAAAGGCAGTACTGATAAAACTTTTTCAATGGTTACTTTCTAACCACAACTGGTAGAGTTCATTAAATCAGGTTTAAGTCTCTTTTCAAGAAAAGCACCACCTCTTCCACCCCACGCACATGAACAATACACACACATTTTCGTCTTTCAATACTGTAGATTTAACAACGTCTTTTTATTTGATTTGGTGATGCAAGAATCTGTATAAATCCAGAACTATCTAGGGATTATGCCACAGCTAGTGAGACATTCCATGAGAAATTAAACTCTGCTGCTTTTATTTTTTAAAATATCATAAACTGATCACTTTTCTATGTAAAGAAAAATCGTGTTCATATATACATTATCAAGAACTTAACCATTAGGGGTAAATGACTCCATATTATCAAGAGATTTCTGTATACTGCCTGTTGTCTGTTGTTCCATTAGTGCTTGCACTGAGATTACTTCAATCTTTTATTTTTCCCTGTGGCTAATATGGCTTTGTTATTTTTGCATGTTTCTTTAGTTCTGGATTCTTTGCTTTTGGGTGATCAGCATTTTATATTTTTTGTAAAATTTACCTGTTCTTATTTCTTAATCTTCCAATTTTCTACTCTCAGTTTGCTAGTAGCTGAGAAAACAGTGTCTGATTGTGTTGCCAATTTAATATTTTTCTTTTTAAGATATTTTTATTTTTAATGTTTGTGGATACATAGTAAATGTCTATATTTATTGAGTACATGAAATATTTTGAAACAGGCATGCAATGTGAAATAAGCACATCATGGAGAATGGGTTATCCTTGTTCTCAAGCATTTACCCATTGACTTATTATGTTGGTGCAAAGTAATTGTGGTTTTTGCTGGGTTTTTTTTAATGACAAAAAACCACAATTACTTTTGCACCAGTCTAATACAAACAATCCAGTTACATGATATAAGCTGGGCACAGAATGACAAAAATTGCGTGTTCTTAATGTAACAATTTTAAACATGTTTCAGTGTGATGGCATGCTTACATATGCATGTTTAGATGCCTCTTATTTCCTTGTACATGTCTATATCTGAATAATTTATATACTGAATTGACCTCCAAATATAGTGAGGTGAGTTAGTGGTCCATATAAACAAATGAAATAATAATTCAATTCACGAACTTCAAGACTGTAAGTTCTCATTTAGATTGTGTTATGCTTTTTGAGGTCACTCTACTATTATCCTAGTTGTTGGCATAATTGAATTCCTGAAGCCATCCACGTTTGTTTTAATTGTAACATACAGAAAGTTGTCATGGAAAAAGTTTTCTATGTATGACTCTCAGAAGAGCATTTTTCACTTCTTTGTTCCTCAGACTGTAGATGAGTGGATTCAGCATGGGAATGACAGTCGTATAGAATACAGATGCCACCTGTGCCTGGGTGAGCGATGATGTGTTATCAGGTTGCAAATAGGTGAAAATCAGAGACCCATAAAAGATAGTTACACCAGTGAGGTGGGATGTACAGGTGGAGAAGGCCTTCTGCCTGCCTGCTGCCGACTGGATCCTCAGGATGGCTGAGATGATGGTGATATAAGTGACCGTGATGATAAGAAGAGAGCTAAGAAGAGTGAATCCAGCTAAGACAAAGATCACCATTTCTGTGCCGAATGCATCTACACAGGACAGTGCTAAAAGAGCTGTGGTGTCACAGAAAAAATGATTGATGCTGGAACCACAGAACACCAAACTACTTATCACACAGACGGATATCAGAGAATTTGTGAAGCCTATCGCATATGGCATTACTCCCAGCCAGTTGCACACTTTTTGGGACATGACTACTGAGTACAATAAGGGATTGCAGATGGCTACATAGCGATCGTAGGCCATTGATCCCAGAAGGAAACACTCACTACACACCAATCCAACAAAAAAGTACATTTGAACAAAGCAGCCAACAAAGGAGATGGATCTCTGATTGGACTGGAAATTCACCAATGCCTTAGGCGTTACAGTAGAGGAGTAAAGTACGTCAATGAATGCTAAATTGCTCAGGAAAAAGTACATAGGGGTATGAAGCTGAGAATCAATTCTGATTAACGTGATCAGTCCCAAGTTTCCCAAAATAGTGAATAAATAAATGAAGAGAAACATCAAGAAAAGACTGACTTGTAATTCAGGGTGATTTGCAAATCCAGAGAGGATGAAGACAGTCACCTCAGTGAAATTGTTGCCAGCCATTTATATCAACTCAGGCCTTTGACTTACCTGCTGAATAACAATAAGGAAAGTTAGAGAAGGATTCAAATCTAAAGGTCCTATAATCAAATTTGACTCAGACTCCAACCATGAAAGTGTTACAAATGGAAAGTAAAATTTAATGACTTCAAATTAGAGATTTATGCATCATTTTTATTTTCTACAAAACTGAAAACTTACAGACATTAATACAGAAAAAAACACAAGTTCACGATCATGTAGACCAAAAAATACGTGTCTGGACAGTTGTGTAGAAATTCCTCCTAAGTGTACCATTCTCTACCCTTGTCTGTCATGGGGTCTGGCAATTTATCTAATGAAATAAATTGTATCTAACAAATATAGCAAATTATCAAATGAAATCAATTGTATCTAATGAATATAGCAACTTATCTAATGAAATTAATTTTTATCTAATAAATATAGCAATTTATCTAGCAAAATGAATTGTATCTAATGAATAGAGCAATTAAATGAAAAATTCAGTGAGATAAGACCAAATGAGGACTTTCATCTATAACATAGTTGAAATTCTTTCATGTATGTTTGTTCAAACAACATGATTGTTTCTAGATATAAAGCACATATTAATCTATGACATCAGATGCTAGCCAATTTATTGCTGAACAGCAGTCTTTAAGACAATGATATAAACGTTAAAAACAGTAAAACAAGCCTGATTTGTTACATTTAGAATAAGAATTAAATTACAAGGTGAGCACGCTAGAAACTGGAGAACTTAATTGCCTAATTAACTTAACATAAATATATGACAAATAAATGCAATCGAAACTAGCCCGCCATGCAAAGTTAAATCACCTTTGTTTAAATATTAGCACTCTCCTTGAGTAAGCAAAGGGAACTTGTTAATAATTATTGTCAATAATAATATAACATATTATTCTTATAATATATCACATGTACTTAATCATTTAATATGTTCCATGGTCACAGTGTTCTTATTTATCCATTCATTTGCTTGACAAGCATTTATTCAATGAAGACATTTTGTCTTGCCTGTCATGAAAGGCATTTTTCTTAAAGCCCAACGTAAGATGCAGACATTAAAAAAAGAACAAGTTTCCCAATATGAGAAACATGCAAACTATACTCACAGACAGACACATAAATTTTAGGAAAAAGAAGATGAGAAAATTAGATGTACCTGGGATTCAGTCATCCAGAGGAAACATCTTACGTTTCAGCAATCTTTCACTTATTTTCAGGTTCGATATATTTGCCTCCTCTACATTGCTAAACATCAAATAACAAAAGTTTTTATTTAGCATAGAGCTCAATTTCCTGTGTAACGGACCCTAAATGCTATAATGTTGATGAAAAAATGTTGGTGGGTTTGATGATAGTATTGGGTATTGTATATATTACCTTCCATTGATAGGATAGAAATAAGAGCCAAATTAACTTCTTGTTAACTTGTATTTATGCACATTCTTGATAATTAAAAATGTATGTTTTTTTGCTCAAGCCTGAATTCCTGTTTAGAATTGTTGTTGTCTTAGTGTATTTCTAAAGCAATCCCACGACAAAGGACTTTCTTTTGAAAGCTCATGTGTTAAGCAGTATTCTTATACCGGCAACTCTTCCTCAAACACTTCAACTCACCTAATAAAAAGTTGGTCAATTAGCATCTTTGATCTCTTGAGATTCATATTTTAATCGTACTCCAGGGTCTATTCTTAATTTGCCTGGTGTATATCTCTAATGGAAGTGTTAGGAAATACATAGTCCTCATTTTTGTGTTTTTCAGTTAAATGGTAGCAGACACATTGAAAAATTCAATTGATGTAGTTTTAAAAATCACGTTATTTTCATGTTATTGGTAGATATATAGACATGAAACATGTATGAAACATTACATCATTATGAAACTAAAGGAGACATATGATGTTAGGGAATCTCAGGTGACCACTGCCTTTGTCTGTTTCCCAGATAACCCTCCCATGAAACGGAAGTAAGTTTTCCTACTCACTGATTTAATGCTGTTAATATGTGTTGAAATTATATTACCATCTATGTCAACAAACATGGATGTGTTTACTTTTAACTCAGGCATTCAATTATTTTTAATTGTGCTTAATGGTATATACGCAATATCATTGATGATAAGTATGCCATCTAGGAAAATGAACAAGAAACCTATGGTACAAATCAAACTCATGTTCTCCATTTAATGCTCAATTTATGAGTAAATACAATATTTCGCACAATTGTATTCACATTATCTCTTGAGTTTGTTTGTTTCAAAGCAGCTTCCTAGCCTACGCTACTGTACAGATTCTGGTTTATTAGGTCTGATATTGACCCATAAAATTAAATTTTTCAAAATACCCCACATTACATGGGTTATACATTGACAAACACTAGCTAGGCAGGATCTCACAGACTTCTCTAATGAAATTCTTCTTCTACTGTGATTGTTATATTCTCTTATACCACTTATATTTTAAAGGGGCTTATTTTTTAATTGACAAATATATTCATGGAGTACGAGTCAGATCATATATATCTACCATCTCAACCATTTATCATTTCTTTGTGTTGGGAATATTCAATATTCTCCTTCTCACTATTTGAAACTACATAATACATTATTGTTAACGATAGTCATTGTACAGTTGTACAGAACAATAGAACACATTCCTCTTGTTTAGCTGTAATTTTGTATCCTTTAACAAATCTCTCCCAAGTGTTACATAATGAAACAAGACAGATTCCTTATGAGAAAAAAAATACATTTTTTGTAGTGGTAGAAACTATCTCTAATATTAGAGATTTTAAAAAAGAAAATCTATTATAGATGTACCATATCACTTACTGATTATCAATATCATCAGATATTAGGACAAAATAAGTTGTATACAGTAGTCCCCCATTATCTGTGGTTTTACTTTCTGTTGGTTCAGTTACCCTTGGTCAATCAGTCTGAAAATATTAAAAGGAAAACTTCACCAGGAATGGACAATTCATAGGTTTAAATGTGGTTTTCTTAGTATTGTTATAATGGCTCCATTTTAAAAGTAGTTATTGTTGTTAATCTTTTACTGTGTCTAATTTAAAATTAATCTATATCTCAAGTATGTATGTACAGGAAAAAAAAACCCAGTATATATCGAGTTTGATACTATCTGAAATTTCAGGTATCCACCAAGGGTCATAGATTCTTTGAGGATAAGGAGAGACTACAGTAATTTCTTCCCCCTCTAAGTGCTCCACTTGAGAAAATAAAACTTTGAAAGAATTGAGTTGTATACCTGCAGTCTCAATGTTTCATCTGCCCTTTTACTTATTTGTTCAACGCAAATTGATTAAACAGCTGTTAGACAACAGGCACTATGCTTTGTGTGTAATATGAAAATAGTATCATTTCTCCTTTCACACTACCTAGTGTTAATTGCCTGTTTCAAGATTCAAATTTTGCGTCAGCTATTTAATATTCTGATATTTGGTGAACTAGCATGTATAGTGGTCACAAATACACAGTTGATATAGGGCTATTGTTGACCATATTACAAGATAAATAAACATTTAATAACTACTTGATTTATTGAATTTACATTTTTTCTATACATCTATTTTGGTGTCTGTCGATCAACTCTTTTTAACTTTTTTATTAAATAATTTTAGACCTACAGATTTTCTATAAACACTTATTCTAGCTTTACTCATGTTAAAATTAATCACAGTATGAATATTAATACATCCCGGGAGGCAGAGACAGCAGTGAGCCAAAATCGTGCCATTGCACTCCAGCCTGGCAGTGGAGGGAGACTCCGTCTCAAAGAAAAGAAGAGAAAAAAGAAAAGAGATGATGGATCTATGCTGACTTGCCAGATATTCGGCTTGTGAGTGAATGGAAACATTTTATTCAAACAAAATAATATAAAAATAGAAAATGGGTGCAGGCAACACTGTGATATTAGTTTTAGAACCTTGGGGTTGAGGAAGTTGAAAGGCATTCAGAAAAATAACTATTTGTCTTGGATGAGATGTAAAATACTCAGATGTCCAATAAAATGTGAATATCTCTACTCAGATTTTCTTAGTTATGTTTGTTAGCTTGTGGAACAAATTGCTGTTTCATGGTATGTACAGCAAAATGCAAAATGGACTGAAGTTCAGAATGCTTAGGAAGTCATGTGATCTAATGAAAAAACATATATTCTGTCCCATATTTGGTTTTGTCGCCAGAAGAACAGCTTAGAAGTTTCCCTTTAACTCTTAATTTTTCTGATTTTAAAAAATCACATGAAGACAGTAAAAAGGGCCATTTTCAGTTTTTTCATATTTCTAAGTTGGAGAACATTTGCTAGCCACCAGTAAAATGCCTCATTGTTGGGATGGTCTTCAAAACCTACACATATAGCCATCCATCTGATATACAAACCTCTCCCTACAAAGTATCACCAATTGTTCACTTTAGCTTAAATCTTCCAAGTGATGTTTTTCACTGCATCTTGGGGTAGTCTATATTGAGTTAAAATGTGTTTTCACATAGCATATAAGTAGTTAATTTATTATTAAATATACATTCAATTGACTTTGAACTGCACTTGTTCAAAAATTTTTAAATTTTAATAATTGGATTCCTTTGAACCCTAAAAAAAAATTTAATCCCTTCTCTTTATGGCCTGTTTTCAATAAGAGAAAATTATAAATTGTTCTCTAACCCTGTCAATTCAATATTCTCCACATGATGTTTTTTATTATCCTTAATACTTTCCCTTGCAAAGAACCTGAACAATTTGGAACATGTTAAATGTACAATATCCACAGCTACACATATTAATTCAAGATTGACTACTGAGGATTCAAGTGGATCATAAACACCTTAATCGTAGCATAGAAACACTCCTTTTCATTTACGTATATATGGATTCTTATATCTGTATAAAATATAGACATATAGATAAATGAAATCAGCATTGCACTGCCAACAGAGGCTTTTACTAGAAACAAAAGTTAAGCACAAATTTTTAGATCGACTAT